GGATCCAAATGGATATTCAAGAAGAAATATCATCCCGATAGATCCATATCTGCCTATAAAGCAAGGTTGGTTACAAAGGGCAATAGGCAGTGAGAAGGGATCGATTATTTTGATACCTATGCCCTAGTTGCTAGAATTAGTTCAATTAGAACTCTCATAGCAATATCAGCTTTGAAAGGATTATACATTCATCAAATGGATGTGAAGACAGCCTTTCTAAATGGTTATCTCAAAGAGGAGATTTACCTGGAGCAACCTGAAGGTTTCGTAATACCTGGACAAGAAAACGAAGTGTGTAGACTTGTTAAGTCTTTGTATGGGTTGAAGAAAGCTCCCAAATAGTGGCATGAGAGATTTGACACCATTGTGACTGCATTTGGTTTTCAGCACAATAGTGCTAACAGGTGTATTTATTCTAAATATACTCCTGATTATATAGTAGTTATATGTCTTTATGTTGATGATATGTTGATGATTGGCACTCACCTAGAAGGTATTCTTGACACAAAGAAAGATGAAAGATCATGGAGAAGTAGATACTATTCTTGGTATCAAGGTGAAGAGGACAGGTGGTTAGATTTCTCTGAGTCAATCTCATTACATAGAGAAAATTATAACAAAGTTTCAACATTTGAACATTAAGGAATTCAATACTTCTTTTGAATCAAATGTAAAACTAAAGGTGAATTATGGTCGAGTAGTGGATCAACTAGAATATGCTAGTGCAGTAGGAAGTATGATGTATGCTACTCACTGCACGCGACTTGACATCGCATTCGTTGTAAGCAAATTGAGTCAGTACACTGTTAATCCGGGGACGGAGCACTGGAAGCCAGTTGGTAGAGTACTAGGATACCTGAAAAGAACAAGTACTTTTGAATTGACATATTCGTCATCTAATGGAATACTTGAAGGTTATTCTGATGCCAGCTGGATTGATCACACTAGTGATTCAAAATCAACAAGTGGTTGGATTTATACTCTAGCTGGTGGTGCTATTTCTTGGGCAAGCAAGAAACATACATGAATAGCTCATTCAACGATGGAAGCAAAGCTAATTGCCTTAGCAGCAGCACGCAAAGAGGCAGAGTGGATTCAAGATCTACTTATGGATATCCGTTTGTGGGATATTCCGATGCCTTCAATACCTATGTACTATGAAAGTGAGGCCACATTGTTTAAAGTATATAATGCGGTATATAATGGGAAGTCAAGACATGTAGGTCTGCGACACAATTTTGTGAGACAACTAATTGAAAGTGGTACCATTAAGGTTGTATATGTCAAGACAAGTAGGAACTTGGCAGATCCGTTTACCAAACCTCTGACGAGAGATTTGGTTACATCTACCATGAGAGTCATGGGTCTAAAACCATAATAGAATCATTTGGTGATGGAAACCCAACTTGACATTAGTGCTCCTAATTTTCAAGTTTAACGGGTAACAACGAAATCACTAACGATAGAAGGTACTATCATTCATGATAGATCCATGTGAGGTAGGATAGTACGTCGTTGCCGAGAAAGAGGTTGAGTTACGACTCTTAACATAGTTTTGGAGACATCTAATCAACGAAGATGTTGTAAAACTTTTCCTATATGATCTAGAGGTGGTGCCGCCTCGAGTGAAGACTAGTGTTTTATATTCTAAAGGGTCATGAAAAGGATTTATAGCGCATGGCCATAATAGAGCTCAGGGAGAACACAAATATGACTTGTGATGTGTGGGGGTAAACCGGAGAGGTCATTTAGGTTCATGGTTTAAACCTATAATGATACCATCGAATCGGTATCTTCTTGTTTGTTCTCATTAAACTAGGGTTTAATCTTCGTGACACCCGAGTGATATCATCTGTCCGAGTGAAAGGAAACTTACCAACTTGGTGGGGGATTGTTGGAACTTTATATATAATGGAATTGCAAGTTGGCAATTTCCTTTGTATCCCACATTAATGTGGGGGAAGAAACTTTTGTGGGTTTATAAGTGTATTCCCTTGGTAAGCCTTCAAAGGCTTTAATGGATCAAAGGAATGGGCCAAGCCCACGCACGCACCTAGCCTTGCCTAGCACTAGCCGACACTGCGAGTGCGCGAAATGGCACGAGTTAGGCGTACTTTGCACTTCGCATGATGCATCGGTCGCTGGGAGCTGAGGAGCTTTTATTTTTGATGAGATCGGGTCAAGCCGGTTTGACCGATTTGGTCAAATGGTTGACCGGCGTTGACTTCGTGGAGGACAAATCAGGGTATTCTAGAAGGATCAGGAAATGGCTTACTTGGAGAGCAAGCTGTCGCCCTAGGGTTTCTGGGGCCGGCCTGTGGGGGCCCGTTTGATGCCTTCTATGGTTACAATACCTATAAATACAGCTCCCTAGGAGCCGCATTGACACCTCACGAAATCTGAAAGCTCTCTCCCTCTCTCTGCGTTTTTTCTGGTTTCCAAGTAGTCGCTTTGTGTTTGTCGATTTTCAGTGCTGTTGGAATATCGATCAAGCTGTATTAAATCATGGGGTTTTACTATGTTGCTTACAGCCAGTAGAAGCGAAGTAAAAACCTTTAAGGATAGGAGTCTGATTCGTGCAGTTGGTTCAAGATCAAGATCAGCAATCAACATGTCGTTTTTACTTTTCTATCTTGTGGTTATTTCGTCCAATAACAGGACAGTCTTCTTCTACCTTTCTTATAATCAGATCTAATCGAGAAGGATAGATCTGGTTTCTGGACGAAACTTGGTAAATATAATAATAATAATAATTGGATCTATTATTCACAACTAATCGACATATAATTCTCAATATTATTTGTCGGTTTCCTTGCACGTCTATTAGTTTGTTTTACAACAATTAATTCTTATTAGGGCATTGTATTTTTAGAGGTGAAATCCAATGAATGTGATTCTATTCATTACTCAAAAAATATTAAAAAAAAAAAAAAAAAAAAAAAAAAAAAAAAAAAAACATAATTTGTATTTAGTTAACAATCATTATATAGAAAACATGCATTGTATGACAAAAAATGGTCAAAAATCATCAAAATTTCAACCACGTTCTCTTATTTTTAGTTGGTAAAAATTATCAACAAAAGAGCACTTTTAGAAATTAAACAAATAAATTTAGCAGTCTACTCTTGAAGTTGGTGTTAGGTATATCCCTTTATTATAGATATAGATGTAATGATATTTGAGTTTAGCGAAACTTGTTCGTAAATGGCAAGTCATTTATTCTTTGGTTGGATTTAACTAGTTTTACAAGGTATATAATGCATGCAAGTTTTGCTTCTCTTATTCGCTTGAGAAATGGATGTCACAACTCCAACCCTAACTATCATCATTTACATTGCCCAACACCACCTTGCCTCCACTTAAAGGATCCATGTCAGGTCTAATATGAAAAAAATGTTTTTTTTCTTTATTGTAGTCTAGATCAGATGCTAAATATCTTAATCAAGGTAAAAAGAACGAATATCAGGCCAGGGGAATTTTCTGGCATTAATCCCTTGACCTAACTCAAAAAAATAATATCTTAGCTTTTTTTAGATAAAATCTTATTTTTATCTTTAATTATGTTAAAAACTAAAATAGTTGTTTAAGAATAAAAGTTATATGTTTGTTTTTTTTTTTTTTTTAAATTAGCTTTATTATACATTTTATATGTGTTATGCTTTTAAGATTGAATCTCAAAAAATAATATGCAAGTTGTAGAGATTTCTAATGCTTCGTTTTAATTTTCTTTTTTGGTTTGAAATGTGACTACTCTTTATTATTGTATAGGTAGGGACATTTTTGTAAATAAATAAAATGCTAAAGGAGTTCGCAACTGAGTTTTATCTGATAACATTTTTTTTTCAATATGGTAGCTTAGTTTCATTAAAAATAATCGCAGGTCACATAATAACTAGACACTCTTGCAATTCACATTTGTAATCACTACTTCAGTTTTTAGTTAAGCATTTAGAAAATTGATAGCTTCTGATTGTTATTTCAGTGTGATTTTAGTTTTGGTTTCAATCACAGTTTGGTTTCAAAATCTAAGCAGGTTGTATGGAAGTTGGAGGATAATTGATCTATGTTTTAAAATAGTATTCATATTTGGAAAATCTAACATGATAATATAAGGTATTAAGATTATGTGTTTGTTATATCTTTTGGAATCTACCTTCTACTTGAATTATTGCTAATTATGAAGCCACATATCTTGGGCAATTGGGCTCATGACATAGATTCCAAAATCTACTTTTCATCCATTATTTATTTCCTAATATAAGTACATGTAAAAGTAAATTGATTAAACAAACAAATTAAGGTGAAACAAATTTATCGAAAATGAAGCATTTATCTATGTATCTCAGTAAACGAGTTATTTTTTATATGTGGAACTTTTATATTTCATTTTCGCTTCAATGTTAAATTAAAGATTCGCCCTTCATTGTTTTGAATTTCTGTTTACTATTTCATGCCAAACAGAGATTTCATTTCCATTCAAACTAGTAACTGATAATACCATATTTCATTTGTTATTGTTTCTGATTTTAAAGGCCTTAAATAGGAAACCATTTAATACACGTAAAAGCAAACTAAAATTTAAATACATTTCATTTATATATATATATATATATATATATATATATATATATATATATATATATATATATATATATATATATATATATATATATATATATATATATTTACTATATTATTAAACATATTGCTTGTTTCTTGAAAATTAAGAGGTACAATACATATTACCTCATGTACATTAATATTAAGCTTATAATCACAATCACATGTATGGGTATACACGGTATTATCTTTTCGTATTGGAATACACGGTATATCCTGATGTTACCCTAATCTTCTCACACACAACACTACACACAACAGCCGCCATCCAAGGAAATCGAAACCCTCTTCTTTCCGTCTCCTTCCTAATCGCTTCAGAATCGATCGATACTCACCAAATAAAAAAAAATCTCTACTGTCTCTCTTGGTGTCGTTGTTGAATGTCTCAGCACCTCCACCTTTTCTCCCTAACCTCGGACGGTACGTTACAGGATCTTCGAAGGAGCACGGAAGTGAATGGGACCATGAGATGGCTTGGTGTTCATAATGTTACGGAGATCACGAAGGTACTTCATTTTCTAACGAACAAGACCATCGGAAAGGCAAATCTCTTCAGTGCACACGACGGTGACCCGATGGCCATTCACCTACCAAGCTTTCGCCTATGTCGTCGTAGTAGCCGGATGGGCCACCGGACTGAAACTCGGCAATGACTTCGTCGGAATCGAATACAACACTCACCGTAACATAGGAATCACACTTTTTGCCCTAAGAACCATTTGGGTATGAAAAAATCGATCACATTTTTCATAATTTCTCTCTCTAACTCTGTAATTTTGAAATCAAAAGGTTTCAGTCACTCAATTCTCAGTATGTGCATGTTGATTCAAATATCCCTCCGATCGCACATCAGATGCATCTTTGTTCCCTCCCTGCTATAAAGCCCACCGCCATGAAGTATTTCCCAATACAAACCCTAATCCATTTTTCCCTCTCTTAGACGAAGACATTGAGTTTTTCTGGAAAATAATTTCGATTTTCTTTGCTATTATTGATTTTGATTTGGTGTTTTGATCGGTTGCCAGGTGAGATGGACGACCAGCGGTTTAAATACGGATAGTTTCTTCTGATTGTGTTTAGTATCATGTTGTTTGTGTTTGTTTGTGTAGGTGATTGGGCAGTTCAATCTTAGATTTATCATTAGCAAGTTAGATAAAGAGATATTTATCGTGGATCAGGTGTTTGCTACCTCATAATCTTATTTGAATGTTGTTTTTGTATTAGGAAAAATGGGTTTTTCATTGTAGGAGGATTTGGATGCTCTTCTTAGGCAGCGTTATAAAATGAAAGTCGTCCCCTTCAGTAAGAACATAACTTTTGGTGTTGCAGGTAATACATGACACACTTAGTTTCATCTCTTCAACTAATCATAATATAATTTTATCCCCTAATATGATTTATGATATATGATATATATGATGATTATTTTCTAGATGTTAAGGAACTCATATCTATTGTGGTGGATAGTCAAGGAGAATGCTCAATGATGGGTGCATATAAGATGGACATATGTGACTCTTTTTGCCCCCCAAGAGTGCGTACAATGCTAGCATCACGTGCCTGTAGATCTTCTATTATGATTGGAGATCCCCTTGGAAGAAACAAGATGAAAAAGGTACGCTGCTACTTTGCTTTTTTGTTTTGCTTTCACTGCTTCTTTTTAAATCTCTAAATTTTGTTTCTGCTATATATGTATATGTAGACTTGCACATGAGAGTATGGACACATTACTGAGAACTAATCACATAACAGGTTTTGGAACAGGGAATGTTCATTTGGTGAAGTTACTCATCTGATGCACAACAGATTTTAAACTTCATGAAAACGGAAACTGATGTGAACAAGGTATGGGATACTCTTAGTAGTCTTCCTCCCATTCACACTACATGGTATGATATCATCAGTGTTACTGTTCAATTTCATCTTAATAAAAGATGGGATCCAATCATATTAGTAAGAACCATTTTGTTGTCTTTGTATTACATTTATGACATATTGGTTTGATCATTTTTCAACATCTACTCTCATTACAAATGTGTGAATGGATTAGTAAGAGCAGTGTTGCAAAACTCGGCCTACTCAACCGATTACTCGGAATTAGCCCTCAACCGAGGCGAGTAATGTGAACTTGGAAAAAAAACTCGGATTAAGTCAAACTAGATAAAAAAATCGATCAAACTCGGTTAAAAATCGGTCAAAATCTCTCTAGCTCGGTCCTACTCGGTATTACTTGGTCTTACTCGGGCCTACTCGGTCAAACTTGGTAAAATGGTCAAAATTGTCATAAAAGAGAAAAAAATCAAGAATTTCTAGATTAATATGTATAATACACTTAATGATTTATTATTTAAGACACACACATGTGATTATTACTACATATATATCTTAAATTTTCAATAATTATTCATGCAGTGAGATAATTGTATGTATTTAAGTTTTTATGTATTCACGTTTATCTGATTTTATTATATATTACAATCAAATTATGATTTTAGCTTATGATTTTGACATATATAATTTTTCTAAAAATATTTCTACATGAATTACCGAATCCGAGTACTCCCCGAGTACTCCCGAGAACTCTCGAGTACTCGCTACTCCCCAGTCGGTCGAGCAGGTACCGAGTAGCGAGTTCTACAACATTGAGTAACAGCCTACTAGACATCTGGATTACTAGACAAAGCTGAAGCTGTCTGTATGGAAATGCTGATATTTATGCTTATAATCCTTCTGTTGGATCATTTACAGGTAGCTACTTCCATAATTCATACACCAAAATATCTATCCCATATTAATGATTAATTTTTCCCATATTAATGATTGTTAGCATTCTTGGAGTTATATATCTATCCCACATTCATGATTAATGTTATCTGCAAATGATTACGTTTTATTTGAGAAATTTTTCCTTCCAAAATACAAGTTCGCACATGGTGATGTAGTAATTTTCATGTATTAGGAGGGCATTCATGTCTTTTCCACATCCATTGACAACGGTCACAGTCATAGTTTTTTTTCTGATTTGAAAATACCAATATATGAATATCATAGATGATAATTGTGATATAGTTTTGGATTATTTTGTAGTGATCCAACTAATTACAAGGAGAGGTGTGTGGAAAGAATAGTATCAATGGAAGGTGATTATATCAGTAATGTTGGTGGTATTGTGAAGGTTCCGGAAGGACATTGTTGGGTAGAAGGTGACAACTCAGCTTCTAGCTTTGATTCAAGAACATTTGGCCCCGTATGTTACCTTTATATTTGATTAATTATGATACCATTTTGAAATTTAACATTTGTGGTTATATGTAACAAAATTAGTATAGAGCATTATAAAGATAAATTTGTTAATACCAACCATATGAACATAATATGGTTTATTTATTTATTTGTTTTTTCAGATTCCATTGGGTTTACTCACATTCTTTGGCCACCACAAAGAATCAGAAAATTTGATTAAAGAATCCATCAAGATGGTTTTGCATAAATATTCGTTACATGGTTTGTTATTATTGTACTCATCAATTGCATAAACAGAAATTAGTGTTGAAAGAAATCAAATTCTGCTGGTTTTAATCCCAGTAAATGAATTTGGTGGATATGAAAGGTTTTTTTAGCTCAGACTTAACATGTCATAACAGACAATCTAATATAGTATCCATAACAATTTATCATTATTATGGACACTCACTGCGATTGAGATTGATGTCAATAGAACAAAATTACAATGTGATGTCTTGCTTAAATGATAGAACAAGGTGGGGCATAGACACAAAAATTTCATTCAAAGGGACTGGATAAAATTGGGGTTTTGTTATCTTGTAAGCACAAAAATTAATCAGATACAGGCAAGGTTGTAAAAAAACGCTCGACGTTAGCTAGTCGGTGGACTGGGGTTAAACGATTAATCGGCTAGGCGGACATTAATCAGGGGATTAATCGGGGACCATTAATTTCTAATTTGTTGAATTTAAAAAAAAATTAAATATGACTAATATCATATTAATGTTCATAAATACCATTAATATCATAACAAAATAAGTTAATATGATTAATACAATGCTAATCATGCCTCAAACAGTATTATTCATTGAGAAAAAAACTTCTTCAAAATGTTAAAATTTCATCGATTTATATTGTTTCACTCATTATGTATGTAGGGATTAATCGCTAGGCGCCCTCTAATCAGTCGAGTGGCGCCTATGGATTAATCGGAGATTAATTAGGATCTAGTCGGGATTTTTACAACAATGGATACAGGATAAAATCAGGGTTTTTGTTAGCATTTTGCAGTTGGAATAGCTACAAAATTAACCACATACAGGATAAAATCAGGGTTTTTGTTAGCATTGTAAGCACAAAAATTCCATTCAAAGGGACTGGAAAGGAATATACTGGAGATGACATAAGCAATTTTGCTAATGCTGTCAAGGTAGGTTTACAGTTTATCACCTCAATTCTCAATGTCCTGTTTTTTTATGCTAACAATATCTTAACTCTTATGCTTTTCAGAGTTCTCTTAAACAATGTTGCGTCCAGCCAAAGTCAAAAATATTGAAGAAAATTCAGGCTTGTGAGCAACAAGAGAGAAAGAAGTTTGAGCAGGTAATCGTTTATGCTTGAAAAGTACTTTTTGTTTTTTCTAATTATAAAATTATTGAGTTGGTTTACATATATATATATATATATATATATATATATATATATATATATATATATATATATATATATATATATACTAGCCATTTGCCCGCGCAAAGCGGCGATGGCGAATAGTTTCTTTCAAGCAATTAGTTCCATTCGGAGACATGTTATATTTCTAAGAACACTTGCACCATTATCGATCGGTTTCACAAAAATAAAAAGTGCAATGCCAAAACCAAAAAATATTGTGGTGGTGGATTCCATGGAGGAAAAAGAGATGACGATTTCAATTAGTCTTCAGTCAACTATATTTTATGCAAAAAATTAGGGAACTCCAATTTGAATGAGCTTTTAAATTTCAAACGATTTGTCGAAAAGGAGTGTTTCAGATTTCGAATGCACCAGATATCAGAGAAGAGATATTTTAGGAGTACAAGTTGGGTTAAAATTGATGAAAATACTAATTCAATCCCTAAAAATAAGAAAATAATAATTTAAATGTGTTTTTAATACTTGTATCCCTAGCATTATCATTTGTAAGATATATATTATAATATTATTATATCAATAGTTGGTTGTACTTTAAGCTTAGAGACTTGAACGTCATAAAAAATTATTATTATATTGATTCTATTTATAGAAATAGTAAAATTTCTTTTATAAGTTAGTATATATATATATATATATATATATATATATATATATATATATATATATATATATATATATATAT